ATTGAAGCATCCTGGTCTTCCATAACACCTCAGCAGTGGCACAGGCTGATAGCTTCCATGTCACGCCGCATTGAGGCAGTAATTGGTGCAAAAGGTGCCCAAATCAAGTACTGAGTACATATGCATGCTTATACTTTTCAGAGGTCCGATATTGTTCTATGTACAATCCTTGTTTTATTGATTGCATGTAATATTCTAATTTTCTGATGGTCCACCGACGATCAATGACCCTGTACGGTCAAGGAGCCCAGGACCCTGCCCTAGCCCCCAAAGGGCAGACGTCGGTGGTGACCATCCAGTGCACGGGAAGGAAAGACTTCCCCCGCACAAAGGCCGGAGATTGAAGCCACCACCGCAGGGAGGTCCTTGCCACCCGAGAGATCCGAATCTCCCTGTCCAAGGACAGGGGGGACTTGTCCCACTGTACCAGGATGTTCCCCTGCAGGGTCCTGGTATGATGTTGCGCAAAGGGCACCGCCTCGAAGGAGGCCCCATGAGACCCAGGACCTGCACGCAAAACCGTATGGGCGACCACTGGCGAGTCCTCAGTAGCTGGACCTTGGAACGGAGTTTCAGGAGCTCGTCCCGAGGGAGAAAGACCCGGGCCGCGACAGTGTCCAGAACCAAACCCAGATACTCCAGGCGTGGAGAGGGCACCAGGCAAGACTTTCGCATGTTCAGCAGCCACCCGAACTCCTCCAAGGACCGCACCGTGACCCCCAGAGCCGTCACCATCGAAGAATGCGACTCCGCCCGTAGGAGCAGATCGTCCAGGCACCCCACAATCGAAACCCCCCGACAACGCGACAGCGCCAGGATCGGGGCCAGCACCTTGGTGAAAACACGTGGGGCCGACGGGCAGCACCACAAACTGAAAATGGTCCTCCCCCACCGCCAAACATAGATACCGCTGATGAGACTCGCAAACGGGTACATGAGGGTATGCATCCCGAATATCGATGGAGGCCAGAAGATCTCCCTGACGAAGCCAGGCCGCCACGGACCGGATCGACTCCATCCGGAACAGACGGGCCCACACGAAGGTGTTCAAACGCTTGAGGTCCAGGATGGGCCACACCCCCTCTTGCTTGGGCACAGTAAATAGGTTTAAATAAAACCCTTTGAACCTCTCTGAGGACGGAACCGGCACAATCCCCCCCTGGGACAAAAGGTCCACCACAGCGCGACGGAGATCCGAGTCGCGGTTGGACTGGAAAAACCGTTTTCCCGGAAGGGACAGAAACTCGATCACGTAGCCCGAAGAAACCAGCTCCCGGACCCAAGAGTCGGAAACGTGGGCCAGCCAAAAATCCGCAGAGAGCCGAAGGCGCCCCCCACCCTGGGAACCAGAGTAGGGGCCCGACCTTCATGCGGACTGGGGCTTGCTGGCGGGCTTGGCAGACTCGGGCTGCCACGGACGCTTGGAGGAGCGGGAAGAGTAGGACTTGTTAAACTTACTGCCCTTGTCGGAGGGCGGGGGCGAAAAAACCGCTTGTGAGCGGAGAAAGTAGGCCCAGGCCTACGGCGCTGCTCCTTCCTGCGCGCCTGGGGAAGGAAGGTACTCTTAAATCTACGGCCCACTGAAGCCCGAGCACCATGAGGCAGGGGGGAGGGGGGAGACAGGAGGCTGCAGCTGTGAGAGAACAGCGCAGCCAAAGCTTACCTCAGCTCCAGGTCCCCACGACACATCCACCGCAGACCCCACATACATACCCCCGCGGAGCGAAGGCTGGACTCCACAACCAGGATCCAGGACGAGTAGGGAAACGGTAGGAAGACGCCCCCGACCGTAGCCGCGGCGTCACCAGCCTGAGGGGAGCGCTGTGACAGGCAGGCCCGGACCCCCTGTCATATGCACTCCCCGGGACGAACCCACAGGCGTCAGGGGGGACCACATGTCGCAGCCGACCCACCGTGGCAGAGTCTGCATGCGCTCGACGGTCACCCAGGGGAGACTACAAGGATCTACAGTCATCCAGCATGTCGCCCTGGGGACACTTGCTAGAAGAAATCGAGTCAAACGGCAGAAGGAAAAAATTTTTTCCAGAGAAACATTTTTAGCTCCTTACTCCTGACGCTAGGCAAAAAACTGGAGACTTGTCAGCAGGTGGGGGGTTTGGCCACCGGCAGGGGCCGCCCCTAGGCTGTAATTGGTCTTTAGTTTTGTGCCTAGCGTCCTTCTCCTGCAGGTGGCGATATTACCCTACCATTCAGGATCTACGATCTGTTGCCTGTGTCCTTCAATGAACGGGAGAGAAATACTTTTTTTATACATACACACATGCAAGTAAAATATATATTATTTACATTAAACAAAGACAATGTTAGGTCAAATTTACCTGAGCATAGCACCAAAAATGTGCTTCTTTATTTTTAACCCCATTTACCGTTGAGGTCATTGCTCTGCTCTCGTTCACCATCGGCATACTCCTCGTCAACACATTTATATGCAGCACACCTAATTGACTCCCAGTCTTGCTCTCACCTCTTTCACTCTGAGTGCTGCTGTAAATGTGATTGCAAGAGGCTAGGGACAATGCCTCATTATTCACTCACACCAAAGGCAGCATGATTTCTTAGAATGGCCCCAATTAAGTGACATTTTGCAGTCTCATTCTTGTAAACATGACCTGTAATGTATCCATTAAAATGGACTTCACATACCTCCTTACCATACATTCTGTTGGCTTTGTAAATGCTGTTGATTCAGTGGCATGACTTAGAATGACTCTACTTTGAATAATAACAGGACATGACAATAATTAAAAAAGAAAAACATTTTATTTACTACATTGTAACATTCAACTGACCTGTTTAAAGAAAATAAAAAACACACACAAGCATGAACAAGAAGTTGAAGCACATGTCTAGATACATACATTTTTTTTGTCACAATAACTTAAAGGACTTTTCAACCCTGGGTTATATGCCAAGTATGCATGTTTTAGGCCATCTTAAAAATTGTAAATATCAAACACTGACATCTGAAACTGGTTACCTGAATGACAACTCCATGCAGAACCACCAGAACAGTTGATCAAAACATTGGAAATAGCACTACTTGCATAAAAGATACTGGTCTCCTCACCTTGCATCATACACTGTCACAGTACCCAATGTCATAGTGTTTGACCTCTAACAGGAACAGGCAACATGAGCATCTAGTAAAGGATACTGATGGTGGAAACTCAAAGTTGAAGCTTCATGGCAGGTAAGTGTAGTGCAATACCAGGCTTCCTAATCATACAAAAGTCATAGTTGTGAGTGGAGTTTTTCCATAAGGGGATCTGTGTCATATATTAAAACACAAAAAAGGACGCAGGAATAAAGTGCACTGCATATACCTGTAGCAGTCTCTACGACTCCGGTTATGGTCAAATACCGAGCATCTTGACAAAGTTTTGGCATTTCCTGATGAGCATTGAACTTTCCCACCTCTTCCATCCTCCATGCTTTTTTTGGCCAGTGAGGCATCCCATCATAGTGATTGGCCAATGGAAATGTGGCAGGTGGGAGATGCCGGGCAGAAGTGTTGGGTTTGGTCTGTCAAAACATCCCATCATTTGGCCATAACAGACTGCTTGCCGGTATGTGGGGCCTGCACTTTATAGCTGCAATAGTTTCTTTTTTTTTATTATTATTTGCAAATTCTCCAAGTCTTTTATCTAGCCCTGTCCTGGATGGCTGTCTTAATCTTTCCTAACTTTCACTGTAAATGAAGCAACAGTGTAATCAGTGTAATGTAACAAAAACTCCAAACAGTAATGTTATCAAGAGAAGAATGTGGAAGTGGCTTTTCTAGCCATCAAACACATTACCATGTAAGTGGATCTCTTCTAATAGACAACTTTGCTCTTGCAAACAATGTGCATTAACAACTTTAGGATGGAAAGTTATCTTACTTTTCTTTCCTATTTGATTAAAAAACGGAACATAAACCACGTGAGGTACAAAAGATCAATAAAACCTGTTGCCAATTTCCTACGGCCTAGATCAGCTGACATACATTGAAAAGAACAGTATTAAACTAAAAAAGGAGAGAATTTACTTCACTATGGCTTACATGTATTACTTGAAGGCTGATTTATGAAGACAAGCAAAACAATATATTGAAGCAGATTTGTAGCTATGGGAAACAGCTCTAATTCTGACAGTTTTCATAAGTCAGCCTCCCTGATTGTGCGGAATACATATAAAACACGAAACTGGCAGGAAAAACCTGCAAAATGGATTTAAAGGAGAACTCCAGTCAGAGTCAGTCATCTGCAGCAATGCATGAAATGAATATTGCAAATCCCATCACATCAAACAAAGTAAATTAGAGGGGAGTCAGCATTGCTTTGATTTGCATTCAGCTGAATGGATGTTATGTTGTCTGGAACCTATAAAAAGAAGCACAGTAGCCTTACAGCTTTGTAGATTTTTTTTTTCTTCCCAAAACAGCCCATTCAAAAGCAAAAAAAAAAGCAGAGATGGGTCACAAGTTTTTCAATTTACATATTAGACTGTATTTTACCTGGGGTCCTCCTTTAAGCTGGCCATATATTGTCAAATTAGGCTGCACACCATGGGCTTGTACTCCAAATTTGACTATAAGAGCACATGGTGACATCTGAACAACGCAGATTTTGATGCCTAAGCAGAACTTTTGGATAATTCAGCAATGGAAATAGTTGCACAATGACCCATTATGTAAGATAAGGGCACAGTGCCACCATATTGTTTAGCAAACAAGTTCAGTATCATGGACAGTACTGATCAAGTATGGACAGTCACCTGTGCTCTACCCCCGTGTAATGCTTGGCAAATTGAGTCTAAAGCAACCTAAACTTCCTTTGCTATTGTAGGAGCAGTTTTAGCTCCACCGAACATATTTTAACAAAAAAAAAAAAGAAAAAAAGAAATGATGATTGGTAAAGCACAGATATTATCATTTTACATTTAGATACATTTTGGAATTGCATATTAAAAAGGGGGGAAAAAAAAGTCCTAACTTCTCGGTTTACTCTAAAATGGGCAATGTTAAAATCAATTGATGGAAAATAAAAGTGAATTGGACATGTTCCAGGTGCAACTTTCCCAGAGAAACTAAAGTCTGTGTTCCATACCCAAATCTATAGGAGACACAAGACATTCTAGTACAAAAGAGTCCACAATTTTTCTTAACTGTGCTTGTGACCATTTTCTGAAGAACGTTAGTGGATTTTCATCTAGTTTTGAAATGCACCAATGGTAAAATTTCATTTCTTTCTTCTAGAATACTTTTTCTCTGGGATGTGATGGCCATCTTGAATTCTGCCATTTATTTTGCAAGTAGGTTCATTTGAGCTGAAAATTTAAAATGCACAGTTGTGAACACCGAGTGATACAAAATGCAATACTAAGATTAGAGAATGTAGGGAGCCCCACCACTCCTGTGCACTGCAAAGAATAGCCAGTATCTTATAGTAAGAAACAAGTCAAAGAGCTTGTTGCCTCCCTATTAGTAACACTTTAGTTTTTCCCTTTCTGTGCACATCTACTCATCTAATATCAAGCTTCAAAAGTAACCACAGAGTCACAATGCAATATATATATATAATGTGTATATAATGTATGTGTAATATATATATATATATATATATTTTTTATCCTTTAACTATAGATCTTGATCTTTATTAAATGCCTATTACTGGTGAGTAAACAAAAGAATAAACCATTAATGGTTCGGGAAGGCTGTCAGCTGAACAAACAGTCTAAGCTAACAGAATACTGCGCACACAGCTAGAATTTTGGTGCAACCAAATACATGTGTTAGAAACAAACAAGATTAGGCTTAGAGTGAAACTATGAGAACAGAATATGAAGGCTGCAAGGCTGATTGTAATGTTAGTTGTCTGGATGTCTCACTAGCTTTAACACTTTCTCACCTGGAATAACTATGAAACATTCTAGTTGCATGTTTGTTCCGGGTGAGTGAGACTGAAAATAGTCAGACAGCCAGGCATCTATTTGTAGAAAGTCAGCATCCAAAAAGCTTTCCTTTAAGATTAAGTACACAGGCCCCTTTGCTTGTATGACCACCTCTTGAATACAAAAACTATACATACAGTAGCTTTTGAAAACCTATTTTATACCGGTGATGCTTCCTGTAAAAGAATAGCATTAGGAGCAATGATTTTCTTTCCCATTATTTACTAAAGCCAGAAAAACCATTGAGCTACATATTGGGACAACAAAAACTCTGCGCAAGACTGCCCCTGAGACCCAAATATTCCCCCTATGGGTTCTGCCATTGTGCAAAGCATTGAGAATGTAAAGCCGGGCTCTCAATCATAATTTTGCACATCCTCTGAGGTCACTGCTCTCTAAATACGTCAGCAACTAGTGATATGTTATGTCAACCTCCAGTCTATCTATGGAAAAAAAAGTCTAAATTAGCATATCCGTAACAGCCATGTTCTCTGCTAAAGCTGAATGTTTTGAAGAAAACAAATCTTTTATGAAGGTTCTGCTTAGTTCACATGGTTGAGCAATGAAAAGGTTTTACTATAAAAGGCAATAAATGAAAAGAAAAAAGAATTGCTGACGGTCAATGTGTGTTTCTGAAAAACGTATTTAAACTATAAAAAAAAATAAGTGTTTCTATATCAATATTTTAACCATTCATTTAGGATAAGCAGATAGCAAACACGGACATGTAAAAATAATGAATTATGAGAGGTACAGTAGTAAAGCAATAATATATTTTCCACTGTCTTGAAATAAACCTAAGAACTCACCTTGTGGGTCATTTTGGTCTCCTTTTTGATTGTCCATGTTCACATTTTCTGGATCTTCTAGAATTGAATGAGAAAAAAAAAGTGACCTCAACAGCTCCCCATCATATAATAATATCTTGTGACTAAGTTTCACTTTAAAATATGTTGAATAAAACATTCTAGTATAGTGTGGTCATTTGCCAAACCCAGGAAGGTATTCATTTCATCTGTGTTCCTGTAGAAGACTTTACAAGGCTTTGTGCCACAAACCATCTATGTATTTTTCCCATAGTAAAGCTGGTCATACACTTTACTTGAAACAGCGTGAATGGGGAAATCTCCCCGGTGGCTATTGTATTCTGAAAGCCAGCACCCACAACTGTGAGCATGCCCAGAGAGCGGCAGTCACTGTTCTTTCAAATGTTTTTCGGGCTGGTTCCTACACCGAAGAGACACTTTGTGGCATATGGTATAGGCACGTACCTGCTTGGCCTTTAAAGCAAAGCTTTTTCTTCTGGTAGGCGATGAAACTTGATACTGCGCCAACAGCAGCGACGCCCAAAGCGCTTAAAACACCAGCTATGACGCTCTGCTTTTCTGCACAAACAAAACATAGTACACAACGGTCAGGAAAAATAATTTTGAAAGGCAAATTTGACCACCGTGTTGACAGCCTGCGCCATCAGGTGAGCAAAATGTATTAACGTGTACATCACTTAAAAAAAAAAAAAGGGGATGATATTTGTACATCTCTGGAGTACATGCACATTTCCATTTTTTTTTTTCCTTTCAACATGCTGCATTCGACCTTCTTTCTTTGACGTGACAACACAGTCTGTGAAATTCATAGAGTGTGTCCTAGATATTCATTAGAGATCTGTCTTGTAGTGTGACAAATAGCGCAACGTGGTACAAATTAATGTATGTGCCGGTAAGGAGTGTCAAAGTAATTTAGGGTTCAGAGAAAACCTGTATAGGTATTAATTAACAACTCATAATTTGATAGAAAGTATTACTGCAGCACGGGAACAGACAAACATCAGAATGAGATTTCAGGCTGTTACGGTGTGCTTAGCTTTTATACAGAATATTTATACATGCAACAGGAAAGGATGGGGAGGGGTGGACAATGTGCAGGAGCCAGCTTTCATGTTGCAGAATGCTTTGAGCAAATGTGTTGCCTGCGTCAGTACTAAAAATGAAAATGATACACGTGTTGAATTTGGAGCAAGTCTTCCATATTGAATAGCAGAAGGAGTTGTGAAAAAGCAACCGCTCTGAGGTAAAACGACACTTGCAGATAGTCTGCAAGTGTCATTGAGTAATACAGTGCACCAATGTATTGTTACAGTGTAATTAATATTTCAGTCATATGCAGATCAAAGGTGTGACCTTTGATCTGCATATGACATCAGTTATACGTCATATGCAGATGGTCACAATGCAGAGAGTGTTCCAGAACTGTAGATATCAGCACATGCCCTCTAAATGGCGGTACCTGGGGCTGGCAGTCCTCTCCCCAAGAACGCTACTGCTCATCACAAACTCAGCACACTCTTGCACATAAAAGGGATGCTTTAAAAACTCAAATACTGATTTAATATTGGCAGATAAAAACATGAAGTAAAACTGCTGATGCATTTCTGCCCATATCCCAGGCCTCAGTATAGCTATGACTAAGGCCCAGGGTGTGGGCTGAAAAGTATCAGCAGTTTTTAACTTGCTTGCAGTTTTTATCTGCCAATATAAAATAAAGAACTGGAGATGTTAAAGGATCCCTTTTGTGTCCTAGAATGCGCAGAGTTTGAATGTCGAGGGTTGACTGATGCCCTGACTGAGCACCGAGGTCTCTTTGCTGTGTATTTGGACATGTGGGGGCAGAAGTGTTTCTATGCATGTGTGGATTTACTACTGCTCATCAGCCTGTAGTTTTCTTGTCCACTGGGGTAATAAACGTTTTATTTGTAAACGCTTATATACATAGGATATAACGGAAAAAAAAAAAAACACAGTACCTGGTCCTTGAACTTCATCTTCTCCTCCACCTGTCAAATACAAAAATAATAGTCATCTGCATGCGGTTTTGTTGTGCAAACATTCCTAATAATTATGCATACAGACCACAGACATGCAAAAAGAAACATGCATTACACAAAAGAAAGTTAATGTGATGAACTAGTAACAGACAAAACGTACAAGGAGAAGGACAGCAGAGGCAAGTCACCGACAATGAACTATGTTAACTTTTTTTTTTTTGTTGGATTCACATTTTTTTTTTAATTACATTAAAATGGAAGAGAGATTTTGGAAGAAAAAAAAAAAACATCACAACAACAACAACCAGAAGACAATAACCCATGAGATAAGAAAATGTCTAAAAAAAACATACCAGACGATGGCTGCAGGGCACGGCCTATCAAAATTTACAAGCAAGATATGTAGGATCAGTGGGATCCAATGACAATCCCTCCCTTCCCCGAGTAAACAAACAAAAAAATAATATTACGCATCTACTAATTAATTTACTTAAAAGGAGAACTATGGAGTAAGTGTTTTCCCCCATAGTTCTCTTAAGGGTCACGGGAGGACATATACCAACCTCCTCCTGTGTCCCAAAACTCAGATCGCGAGCTACAGCTCCCAGTATACCGAGGACCGCCGCAGACGGGACGGATCCCGACAATGCTGTCGAGATCCGCCCAGCTACGTGTATGACATCTGGCTCTGCCTATCTAGAGGCAGATCCAGCTGTACCCGCCCCCCTCCCTCGTCTGTTCCTCCAGTCGCACTGGAGGATCGGATCCGAGCAGGGGGGGGATCCCTGCAGGGAGTGGTGACTGACGCTCTGTGCAGGAAGATCGAGAAGTGGGAAATCTATTGCCGATCTATTGAGCCGACATGTGACAGTTTCATTGTCACACATCAGCTCGAGCGATGAGGATGAGTGATTTTCACTCACCTCATAGTTCTCCTTTAACTGTTACTCATTCATGGCAGAAATGTAAAAAAAAAGAAAAAACACTTTAAAAAAAAATAAACTAAATAAAACACTTCAATACGTTTCCTAATGTAAGAAAGGTGCATAATTTTGAATGCACATTTATATTTTCCTGATGAAAAAGCAGAACACTGAACTGGAATTTTGCAAATATTAGAAATTACGTTCAAAAGCAACTATGCATTACATTGAAAGCAGGAAAAGAAAAAAAAGGCAGGCACAATTCAAAAATTGTAAGCATAGCTTTTTTTTTTTATAATGTAAAATAGAATGGTCAGCATAAGCTTAGTGCGGGCAAGTGGTGCTTGTAATGCATGTTATACACACACACACACACACACACACACACACACACACGCTGTTAAAAGGGCCAGTTCATCCAAAATTGATACGTTAGAGAGGGTGAGAGTATGCTGGGCCCAGTCCACCTGTCTTCTTTTAATCTATATGGCTAAATGTTTGTTGGTCATTAATATGGAGCCCCCCACCCCCATTGTGGCTTTAACAGCCACCGGTCTTATAATCCTGCTATAGCATTATGTCTTAAATAAATACTCCAAAGTTGAGATCTGCCTGCCATAGTTCCTGACTGTGCACAGTTTTGCGAGGGCTTTGCTGAAGTGGGTTTACATTGAGCCCCTGCACATCATTACTCATAATGGCTTAACAGGTGTGCAGACACCCTAGGTCAGGGATGCCCAAACTGCAGTCCTCCAGCTGTGGTGGAACTACGAATCCCATGAGGCTTTGCAAGATTCTCACAGACATGACTCCCGGAGAGAGATGCTTCATGGGATTTGTAGTTTGACCACAGCTGGGGGCCCGGAGTTTGGACATCCCTGCCCTAGGTAAAGTGCAGAGATCACCAACCAAGCATCTGACTGAACCATATTTGACTCATTTTTTAATCATCTGGATAATAATAGTGTAAGGTGCAATTACGTAGTACGTATCAGAGTTAGTTCAAACTGAAATATGGTGTTGTAGTGCAAAATTCATCACACAAAGCATATGTGATGGTAACGCTAAACAAGGTCAGTCCACAATAAAAGTGACATCTGAGTTCTACGTGCAGTCTGACTGAGTAAGGAAATAGTTTTTGGTTTCATGTTCGCCCACTTTGAAGTTTCAGGGATTGCTTCCCATATCGGGGAGCTCACACTCATATTGCATTTTTTGCAATACATAACAAATCAAGTACTGGAGAGTGACTGGGACTATGAAAGGTGAGCAGATCTTAAGATCTCATCACAGGTATGCCCAAGAGATGGTAAAGTGCTTGGTGGTTCAACAAATCATATTCTGCCAAAAACTTCAGAATGAACTGACCCTTTAAACCAAACAAGAATTTCAGATCATTGTATTGTATGTTAACAGGAGATGAATAAAAGGGAATGTTTCACTTACCTTTTTGATTACCATCAGGTTCTAAAAGAATACAAAAAACAAAATCTTGAGGTTACACATTTCTATTTAACCTATATATAGCTATACAAATAAGCACGGGATAGATTTATTCTGAAATACCATATACAGCAAAATAAGATCATTGGTCAATGCGTTTGCCTTCGTCAACTAGAGCAGCAATAGCAAACATGTATCAATAGTGTAGTGTGCACAGCTTAGAAAAAAGAAAACAACATCTGCCACTCTAGGTAGTGCATCTATGAAACTTGGATGATAAATCACACAGTACACGTGACATAAAAACGGCAGCATTTGTTTTCACTGGAATCCCCTGCAGGTTGTTAGTATGAATTAGGAGCCGCCTAATGAATTCAAACAATAGCAATCATTATTTGCTCTTACAATCCTCAGACCATTATGGCAAATACATGCATTCTAAAAGGTTACTAAATTCAGCATACGACTGTCCAATTTTCTGTTCAGTACTAGCAGTTCTGACAAATGAATTATTTTCTTTTATTTTGCTTTTGACCACATCACATCCATTGGGAATGCAATACAGTCTGTAGTAAATATATATTTTAGTCTGAACACCAATGAGAACAAACCACATCAACCATTTTAGGGCTGCAACTAATGATTATTTTTGTAAAAAATCGATTAGTTGGGCAATTATTGGTTCGATGAATCGGATAAAAAAAAATTTAAAAAAAATACCATTCTTAATTTAAAATAAAATACACAAACGCAGTGTTGCAAGCACAGTTTGTCAGAATAAAACTGCATGCACAATTTTCTGCAATCGCACTGCACTGGAACGCTCCGGTAATGAATGGCATTGCAACGCACCTCCTGCAGCAGAATTTGTCAGGCCAAAACAGAAAATTACTTGGCTTTATTGTAAGCACACGGTGCTTTAATAGCTTCAGCCAGGGTATGACAGCTGCCAGTGGCAGATTCCCCAGACGGCAGCAGGTAGTGGACGGGTGCTGCTGTGCCCTCCTGCCAGCATGGAGAAGAGAGCTAGGGGATCCAACCAACTAATCAATAATGAGAATAGGTGACAACTATTCTAATTATCGATTGATTAGTAGGTTACAGCCTTGCTGCTCGTTTAAAAATGTTGAATTTCCCCTTACTTTCTTTCACCGTAAAAATGGTCACTAGTACAAATTACTCTAATTGGGACTTGGGCAATAAAA